AGGTTGGTCTGAGGAGCCATCTGCTTTTGTGTAAGGCACTCGCACCAGCAGCTGTGTGTGTAGCCTAGTGCTCAGGTCATGTACATGTAGGTTGTTGGCAGGTGCTCCAAGAAGCTCAATGATTTGTGAAGGGACTCTTTGTGCTGAAAGCAATCAGAGAAGAACATCTTAGTTTACTAGCCAGTGTTTAAGCTGAGCTGCAGTCTTATTAAAAGGCGTCAGAATGCATTATTTGCTGGGACAATGTTTCCTGTTTCTCAAAATACTAGTTGGTTTAAGTTGTAATGATGGTTCTAGTTGCAGTGATTCCATTTATTCAGCTCTGGACTGAAAATAAACCTGTAGCCATCAAGACTCCAACATGCAAAGAGCTCCCAGTCCTGGCTGCATGGCTAACCGAGCTAACAGGTAAGCAGCGGTTAGCAGTTAGCGTTACTTAAGCAACAGGTTAACCTATCCGTCCATCAGGATACTCCGTACATCAGCGGGAATTGAGGCAAAGCAGCCGGAGGGCATGACAGGACAAACTAGAAAACAATTTTAAACTATATTATCCAGTTTCAGCTAAATCAATTTAGTTCCATAAAGCAGTATGCACTCCCCCTGGGGAATTCTACAACCCGCTCACAAGAGTTACATAGTGTGAGAAACTGCCTTTGGGGCCCTGAGTGGGAATAACAGAGACACCATTCTCCCTATTACAAGTCAGTGTAGCATCAAAATGATATTGAAGCTGTCATTTTTAAAGGTTAATTAGCTGCATATGTTGCTTTAATTTAAAAACTGCAATACATCAACCATGCAATGCCTAACCAACTGACTACAAAGGTTAATCGTTCACATGTGCAGCAATTTGTTGGTTTATATCTGACTTTGATTTGGCTCAAAAGTCATTGTTATGGTCATTGAATGACTTCCTTTATCTCCTGCTTCTCACATGATCTTTACTTGTCTTGCTGAATGACTGGCTTAAAAGCAATATCTTTTTTTTTGCATTTAAAGTGCCCCAAAAATCAGCACACATTTCAGGACTATTAAAATCAAAACTATTTTAACTCTGCATTACTGTAGTTATAATGTTCAGTATACACAATTGGTCCTAATGCCATCCATTTTTGGTGTTTTGCAACAAATCTGCTTGTGTATGTAATTAGTCTTCCCTAGGAAGCCAAAAAATAGTGGTGTCACGATCTGTCTTTGTGGTATTTTGTCTTGTCTTGTTTCATGTTTTATTTTGAAAGGTCTTCACCTCCTGTCTTGCCTGTTTCTGTCTGCGTTGTGTCTTGTTTAAATCTGTCTGTGGTTCCCGGTCGTTAGTTTCCCTGGTGTGTCTAATTTACCCGATTGTGTTCACCTGGTGTCCCTGTGTTTTCTCCTCCCTCCTCACCTGTGTCTTGTTTCTGTGATTAGTCTTGTGTGTATTTAAGTTCTGGTTTTTCTGTCTGTCTTTGTCGGTTCGTCTTTTGTTGTTGACTGTGTTCACCGGTGAGTGTTCTGTCTGTCCAAGTTCTATTCGTTATCCTTGAAATAAAGGTATAATCAGTTAAATCTGCATTTGGGTCCTGCTTCTTTCGCTCTACCGTGACAAGTGGAGCCTGTTGTGTCCGAGAACGGGAATATGCTGAGCCATCTGCAGTATCATGCCTGCTCTATAGGAGTCTGCCTCCTCGAGTACAGGGAGTATGGTGTCTCACACAGACAGACACACACCCAGTAGGCATGTGTGCACTCGTGCATCACAGGTAGCACACTGTCTCTTTGTTGCAACCTCATGCACTTTTACCCTAGCACACAGTGAGGCTTATAAAATATAGTTCATGGCATGATTTCATTATTTGTATTAAAATGATTCAATTACTATTGTTTCTCTGTTTGGCATGTTTTATATCAAAAAGTCATAGGTTTTGCTTAACAAGTCCTTCTAAGCTTAAAATAAACTAAATGACAGAAATACCTTTTTCTTTGTTTGCTTTTGTCTCTATGGCAACATTGACAAAGACTTAGCAGCATGTGGCTGAAGCACATCTAAGCGGTCAAATTGACTGTCGGATCTCCCATCCCTTACTTACCATTCTTCGGCCTTATATCTTTTAAATCAGTGTCAACTAAATCCAGATCAAGGAAGTCGGCCTTGAGGCATCTTTGCGTCACTGATACTCTGACATTCATGTCACGTTTTTCATAAACTCCTTCTGAACATGTGTTCAGTTTGCACAGGCCAAAAATAAAACCAGCCATATCAGCTGTGGCATTTATGTGTAAATAGAAAGTTAACTAAATGTGATTTACACTTGGGCCTCTCACATACTGAAATATGAACTCAATATGTTGTGATTACCTGTAAATGTATATATTTATCATGTCCTCCAGAAGGGTCATATTTGCGTACATTCTTTATGAGCATGCACTTAAAAATGATGAGTAGCCACTCATTTGAATGTGTTTTGCTTGTGTTGAAATACAGCCTGCCGAAATATGTGTAATGACAGCAAAGGTAATGCATTCCATATGTTCAAAATTAGGCATACAATCTGATCTGTGATATGTTCACCAAATATGGTTCCTAGATAACTTTTAAATGTGATTTAACATTGTGTTCCCTGTAACACACTGTGGATTTCAAGTAGACTCCACATTCCTTTCCAATTTGGCCGGTTACATCTCTTAAAATCATGCCGGTGACATACCTGTCAAAGCAAGCTGCCATAAATGGAGATTTCAAATTGTTTTGTGCTGCTGACTTACTGACTTGAACTACTGTACAGCATTCTTATGTCAAACATAGTTTATATTGTGAACTGTGAATATAAATACTAAACTACAGTAGCGAGATGTGCAAGCAAGCCTGTGATCCACTCATTGAGAGATTTCCTGGCTGATGAGGCCATCATAGTACAAAGTGCCTGTCAATTTTCTTTTTAATAACATCTGCTGCTCTTCATCACATTAACTGCAGGAAAGACAGTCACTATATGTTTACCGTTTCCTTGCCTGTTTGTGGGCGATGTTGTGAGCAATATGACAATTTATTAACACAACTCTGTAATGACAGGCATCTGCATTGCTCAATATCCCTGAGCAAGTTGTTGAATCCCTCCCTGTGTTCTATGGTCCAAGTTAAATTGTCTTAGGGGACATAATAAAGCTATACAACATCATTCATTCAGACCATACTTTGCATTGTAAACTCCTTTTTAACTGAGGTTATAGTCCCCACAACACTGGATTGGATCCCTGCCCTGCTGATTGATTATGATGGTCATAAACAACATCAATTAGGTGCATGTGAGGATTCCTCCTGCATGACGGAAGCCAAACATATTTTCTAGTTTATTTCTGTAATACAGCCAAACATAGACGACCAGAAAGAAAAAAGGGGAGAGCAGAGGAAAGAGCAATTGAGAATGGATAGACAGAGAGACACAGAGAGTGTGAAGGGTGTGACCTTAATCCCAAGTGGGAAAGAGAGAAACTCACACTGACTGAAACACACACACACGCACACACATCTGGTCCATCCAGTTTCTACTTTGTATCTCACATGAAAAGTATGTGATACAAACAGAACAACTGGAGTACCACTCTATACCCTCATGAGGTGAGTCAGCACTCCAGTTGGTTGATTAGTTACTCAGTGGGCTGTCGTTGCTAGATCAAGGGTGTGGCTGGTTGTTTACTTTGGTTTATGCTTAAACTCATTCATGAGTCATCCCTGCTTTCAGTGTCCTCAACAGTCTCCTATGCAGAAATGTGGGAGAGGGGGCACGGCCATTTCTATTTGAATGTTTTATCATATCACTCAGTCACACCTGTACATTTGCACAAGGAAACACACCCAATAGCAAGGGCAAACTTCACTGCACAATGCAGAATCATGCAGATTATGCATAGTGCCTATGTTCCTTACCCTGCATGCAAGTCACTACATGTTACTCTCGCCTGCCAAGAAGGAGGATACTGTATAAAGAAAGCCGGGCTGCTGGAGAGGGAACAGATTATGTTACTGACACCCTGGCTCCGTCCAAAAAGCCTGCAGCTGAGGCTTTGCTTTCTATCTCATCAAAGAACAATGAACAGCAACCAGATTATTGGAGGAACTTGAGTGAAATAGGTGACGAGGCAGCTATCCCAACAATATCTCAACTGTTGACTCTAAACATTTGAATCCCAAAGCATTAGCCTACACCATCAGAAAAGCTGTATGGTGGAATACAGTGGGTGGTAAACAAGATGTGTGGACATACGCATTTGCATAAATAGTTACAGTTTACTGACTTCGTCATAGACTGAAAAGTTGTAGGCCTACTTTGAAACTGAGGTGCACTGGCACTGCCCTCATGTGGTCACAGCCTTGTGAGCAAATTCATAAACACTACTCGTTTTATTGAGAGCGAGAGAGATAGAGAGAGAGAAGGGGAGAGAGAGAGTGTGAGGAAGTGTGGGAACATTCGCAACATGTTTAAAGAGAGCAGTCGGCCTATTTCTGTCTCCCATCGCCCACATTAAATGCCGAAAATAAGAAAAAAAGCGTTTTTTTCTGGGGCGCAATGGTGACCCACATATATCTACACCACACCCCCCGAAGCATCTCATTACGTCAGACTCCATAATGGTCCACGAGATCAGATGTATGTTTTTCCATAAATTACTGGGTCTTTAACGTTAAATGTGTCAGTGCGGCTCTACATGCCAAGGGATGTGGGCACTTCCTCTGGATTTCGAAATGCCTCATTTTATTCTATCAGCGGGAGCCAGCTTCTCATCAAGGCTGCCTCCATTCTATGTTCCACAGGAGGGTTTGTGCTTAAGTATATGTGCATATTAAATATATGAAAGCATTTCATTAACCAAAACGCTACTACATTATTGTTGTTGTGTGAAACTCCTGACAAACACACATTCCCTTGGTAGAGGAAATGCTGTACAAAAATTCTAGATACATTTTGAATAACCACCCCTACAAAATATGGTACGCCCCACTCCCCGCCGTTAGCCGTTGTTGTATCCTATGCTAGTGAACAGATATGTTGCGATACTAACTAGCTACACACTAGCATTAAAGCCACGAAAAGATGCTCATTCACGGGATTAAAACAATAAAACAAACAGCGAGAAGTCTAGAAAAACTTTGCCAAACTGTGCCCAAACATTATTAGATCACAACCCGAATCACTTCCCTTCAGTTTGGAGTGTGTTAGCATTGTTTTATCTCAGCACTATTGGACGCGTTTTTTTTTTCTTCTGGAGCAGTCCAGTCTGATGAATTCACCGAAAAAAGACGGAGATGATGATGTGCCCGTTAAAGACCCGGTAAAATACGGCGAATTGGTCATTTTGGGGTAAGTCTCTTGAAACCTAAACTGATAGTAAAATTGAATAGGACGGAGAAAAGGTCCAGCGGCAAATGAACGTTTGCATGTAACGGCACCATCAGCACAATACACCAACAGATGACGTGTGAGTTGCGGTTTAATCCACTTAATTTAACAATATAACCTCTTATTAGTCGTGTTTTGGATAGTTAATCCATCATAGTAACACATGTGAGCTGATTTATTGCACATTTCCGTCGTATACCGTCAGTCTATGACTATGTAGTTGTGTTACAAACTAACTTTATGTCACAATTGCAAGCATATTCTCTAAAACTACGTCGCCGTATTGTTTCCACACTATGAGTGGTGCGTTTGAGTGTAAAATGTGCACAATTTAGCTTTATCAATAGCACATAAGGCTACTACGGATGTAGCTGCTTTTCATCAATGGTTGTAGTAGCAGCAGCAGCAGCGCTGGATTGCTCAGGCTGAAAATCCCAATGATGTCATACTATGCTGGATCTGAGCTTGCTAAAAGTAGCACTGGGGGTGATATCATTGTCTGAAAAATACATGAATCTTGCTCATATTATTTAGTCATAAAGTCTCTTTTATTACTAATTAATAAAGCCAGATGACCACTCATTGCAAGGAAGGAGGAGGAGGAAGAGACAAGCCCCTCGACATCACCAGCACACAGTAGACAGGATGTGCTGATGACCAGCTTCCACAGCATTTCCACCCCTACAGCTTCACACTCTGCAGGGACCAGAAATGCCACAACACACACACACACAGTTATATCCTGCCTTACACAGGCCTTCTTCTTGCCCTGCAGAGCTTCCTGTGTATGCCAAAGATAACTGACCTAATGGCCTATCGCTTCCCCTCTGGCTGAACATGGAGTGTGGAGGCTGCAGCCCGCCTGCATAAGAATACTGATTAGTCGTCTTCTTCGTCATCTGACTCTTTGAACACAGCGGTCCTTTTACATCCCCCAGACCAGAATAAGGAACTGATAGTTTAATGCCTAATTTGAGCTTTGGGGCATGCAACTATAACACTATCCTGCTATGCGGTGTGCGCTGCAATGCTTAATGTGCCTCATTGAGGGTTGAAAATGCATTTGTATTGGCTCACTTTAAAACTGTGATGGAGGTTTGGTTTGATCTTATTCTGTGAAAGTGATGGCCACAGGCTTGCAGACTATTATAGATAGCTGTAGTTTTGAACAAGGGCTGAGTGAAAACAATAGATTTTGCAATTTATTTATTGCTTTTTTGGTTATGTTACACAATGTAAAGTGTTTAAAATGTCACATTCTGGTTACAGATACCCTATGAACAACAATATAAACCCATATCCAGGTCAGCTGTATTTCTTATGGTTCGGACCCACCAGTTCCTCTTTCCACAAACACAGCAAGTTACTCTTAACATCTGGTGTCTGAACAGGCTGTCCTTCAACTACTTCCTGTCAGATACAGTATCAGATTTTCCTAGTCTGTGTTATGCAACTGTGGTTCAACTCTGCTTATGTCAGCCTTGATTATCACATGCCCTGTGTGGTCGATGTCACTGCAGACCTTGTGATCTTTGCAGTGGCTGTCTGCCATCGCTCGTTACCTTACTTAGCCTGGACACCATGTACAGCGCTGCACTATCCCCCCAGCAACTCACTCTTAACCCACTCCAGTAACTACCTCCTCTTGTTCTCTGTGCACATTTTTATCTCACCCGTAACACCTCTTAACAACGTCTGTGTCGCATTCCTCCATCTCCTGCCCAGTTCCCTGTCCTGCCAGCCTCCCAGTGTTTTGCTGAGTGCTGAGTTTCTCAGCAGCAGGCCTCCTTGGTGGCAACGAAAATAAACTCTGTGTCGAGGGGCAGAAGGAGTGAATATTTCATATTGTGCTTTATGATGTGCGCACATGCGTGATGCAGGCTAGAACTGCCCAGGCAAATGTTACCACGTGGAGCAGCTCCTCCACTGGCCTTCACCCTTAAACCCTCTCTTCTCTCAGCCCCCTTTCCCCATTATGTCTCCCTACACCCTGCCCTTTTCTTCATTTCATTCATTTGGATTTATTTTCCCATCTCTACCTCTCATAATAGCTTCTGACTTCTTTTCTGTCTCTATTTCTATCAAGTCGCTTACCCTTTTCTATAAGCTGAATATCTCTCCTGTGCCCCCTTATCCTCGACCCCGTTGCAAACCTTCAGCCTTTTAACTGGACTCCTCATGTTCTTCTTTTTATGACCCAGACCTTTTCTTCTCAGCCTGGGTTAAGTTTGAACTGACAGGCAGGGCCATACGGAGAGCAGGTAGCACTTAGGCCTCTCCTGTGATTATCACAGGTTATTGTGGCCTGTTGAAGTGTTTTCTGACTAAAATACCCAATCCTCTTACAAACATCTGCCCTGATCTGGCATTAGGAGTGTTTCACAGAGAAAAAGGAATTTTGTTCCTGCAATTCATGGAAATATATCTAAAAAATGCACAATGTCAACAAACTCACAGGCAGACATCTGACCAACACAACAATACAAAAGGACAGTAACAATAAATAATCTTCCAAATACAATTATGTTCTCAAACATAGTACCGGTAACTAAATGTACACAAGAGAGGTTAAATAGGCAGACATGTGCAATCCATTGTGAGTTCCACTTTGCCTTTGCCATAACTCAGGTCTGAAATGTCGATGGATGGATTTTAGGTTTGTTATTTTTCAATAGTGTTTTAAGAAAAGTTTCAAAGTAAAAGATGACAATTGGAATCTTGAACTTCAGTTTAGTTTTTGAATATATAATAATCAAACAACAAAAAAACTGAAGGTGCTGTTTGTGAGGACGCTTTACGTTGGCAATGGCCACACTTTGTACACTCTTACCTCCTATAAAGATCGCCAATATTTAAACCTAGCTGTTATGTGTTATCATCAAGACACATACTTTTGCCAGTGTGAAAGATGGATGTGTATCTCTAAAGTGTATTGAAAGACTGATTCAACACTAAAAATGAACTCCCATACTTAATGCTTTATCGAAACCAACGTTTTTAATAGTCAGCGATTATTTAGTTGTGATTATTTTACTTTAATCTGTAGATTCTGTTGTCAGATGATTTGATACTCTGTATGATGTCACAATAAATAACAAATGCCTACTATAGTTTACCAGAGCCAAAAGTGACATGTTAAAACTCAAAATGCAGTCTGATAGCATAAAAACAAAAAAGTCTTACAATTCTTTTGAAAGAAGACTAAGAAATCCAAGTATAATCTTTCATTTAAAAAGCTCTGACCAGCAGCATATCGGCATTTGATTTTTAAGCACTAATTATTTAATGAATTTTCAAAATTGTCATTGATGAATTTTCTTATGAGAGACTGCTTGATGAATTAATCCTAGTTCAGCTTTGTTGTACAAACACTGTCTGAGCAGTCGGTGGCTTCTCCAGCCCACGCTGTGAGGCCACTGTGAGACAGATCAGAAGAACAGATGTCCTCTGATCTGATCAAGTCTGAAGGCCAGTAAAGTCTGCTATTGTCCCTCCGAGTCTTCTCACCCGCTGGTTGTCCTCTGAATGGTTTTTTAATAAGGACCTTGCCCTGTTGATTAGCGGGAAAGCCTTAAACCAGAATAATTCCTTCTGCCTGAACTCCAACTTTGAAAAGAACATTTAACTGTACTTTAAAAAGGACAATGTCATAATCTTGTCAGCACCAATAACAAAAAGGTTTCAACATCGGGCCTCACTTATTTTCATTAAAACATAAAATCTGACATCATCTTCTAAGAAGGTTTGTAAATGAATTATAAAACTCTTAAGGTCTGGAATACATGATGTACCACTCTGGTAAGAATAATCTGAATTCTCAAGAGTGTTTCTATTAAAGGGGCCCTATTAGGCTCATTTTCAGGTTCATATTTGTATTTTGTGCCTTTACTTTGACATGTTTACACGTTTTAATGTTCAAGGAGAGTGTGTGGGAGAGAAACTCCTCCCTCTCATTGGTATTGCCCCATGGTGTCGTGAAAATGATTGTGTCCTGCTGAAAGCCCCTTTCATTCTAAAAAAAGAAGTAGAGGTTAGATGAAGAGTGAGCTCTGCTTCTGTAAACATGAGCCTCAAGTACACGCTGAGTGAGGGAGATCAAGTGGTGGTTGTCCTTTTCTTTGAGCAGTTAAAGGTGGGGTAGGTCATTTTGGAGAAACCAGCTCGAGTGCGCTAGAATTAGAAAATACACAGCCTGAAAAAATCTGCCACTTCCTTACAGAGCCCCTCCTCCAACACACATGAACGCGCACATGACCAATGAGGGCACGAGGTAAGTTTGTGCCCCGATGGAAGGCTGACAGGCAGGTAGGCCATCCAGTTACTTTAGCCGGGCCGGCTAAAATGATTGGTCGTGCTTTTTACAGTACTACGGCTTCCACTGATGACATTTCTTTATGGATTTTTTGTCAAAGCATTTAATATATTCATTGCTATCGGGATGTTAAGAGCATTCCATGGAATATAACAAAAAGTGTATCTCGAGCCGGTTTCTCAAACTTACCTACCCCACCTTTAAATATGAATCACGCGTGGTTCTCGTGTGCGGCTTTACAAAAGAATCTGCAGCCGTAAATCAGCACAGAATCAATGGAGCCGGCAGTCCTGACATCCTGGCACCATCAGTGGCTTTTTATTTATAACTTCTTCCCACGAGTAATGAAAGATCATAAATACGATATGCAAACAAGATATCTATTTCCATAATTAGGCTTTCTCAATGAAACTAGAGAAACTGGAATGAACACGAACAAGCTTGTTGCCTCTCAGCTGTATTGCATGCTAATGTATAAGCTGGTTTTATTTCGTGTATGTCCTTGCTGACATTTTGTCCACCTTTCTCCAGGTACAATGGCTCTCTACCGACCGGAGACCGCGGGCGCAGAAAGAGCCGCTTCGCTCTGTACCGAAGGGCCAAGGCCAACGGTGTCAAACCCAGCGCTGTGCACATCCTCAACACCCCACAGGACACAAAGGTGTGTGTGTGTGATGTGTGTGTTCTGTTTTATCAGTGTGTAACATCCTTCCTGTGACTCCCTGTTGTCTTTTATAAATGTGCTGGAGGCAGGATGACTAAGCATGTTGACTGGCATATGTGGGCTGTGTTTCAGCCTACATACGGATGCGGGATTGTATGATGATTGACGCATGGTGATGGATAAAGATTTGATCACCATCATGTCATTGTCAAATGCTTCTGTCACATCTAAAAATAAAGAATGAGGCTAATTTAATTTAATATTAAATCATATATGATTGACTTTTAATTCATAATATAAGTCTGATATGTGTTCTGTGATGAAAATTAAACACTCTTACAGAAGATGTTCATCAACTCTGCTTTTTGCCATTGTTGTTGCAGGCGGTCCACAGCAGGGGGCAGCACAGCATCTCTTTCACGCTGTCCCGTAACCAGACAGTGGTGGTGGAGTACTGCCATGACAACAGCACAGACATGTTCCAGGTAACCACCGAGGACATCAACAAAACAGGGTCAACAACGGCTCGCTTTACAACTCTCCTAATCCTAGATTTGTGATCACGTGAACATTTCTCCTGAAATATGATGTTATGTAACGCCATCAAAGGAATTTCTCCAGTAGAAAGGTTATTTTGGTTCTGTTGTGACCACAAAGTGTGTAAATCTGTCTATTTTTATACACAAAGTCTGCTCTTAGAATAGTATCACAGGTTTATTTATTTTCCATCAACAAATGATGACGTATCTTTCCTACAAGGTGATAGAAGCGTCGGGAGAAAAACATTTCCATAAACACCATCAAGCTAGTGTGATTCTGAAAGTATGAATAACTCTGTAGTTAAATATACCAATACCAACACATTGATTTGAATGCAGTTGGTTTGATGAACAGTGTCCAGAAATGCCAATGAACTACAATGACCCCCTGTCTGTGCTTTACCACGCAGATTGGACGCTCCACAGAAAGTCCCATTGACTTTGTGGTGACAGACACCTCGGGAGGGGGGAAGGAGGGGGAGGACCCCTCCATCGCTCCCAGCACCATCTCACGCTTTGCCTGTAGAGTAGTGTGTGAACGCAACCCACCTTACACCGCACGAATCTACGCCGCCGGCTTCGACTCCTCCAAAAATATCTTCTTAGGGGTGAGTAGACTGATGATCGCATGTTTCTGTTCAAATGTACAGTTTTTGAATCAGTTATTCAAAATACTCTGGTGTATTTGTGCCTTCACAGGAGAAAGCAACCAAATGGAAAAACCCTGATGGGCATATGGACGGCCTGACCACCAATGGGGTGCTGGTGATGCACCCGGAGGGGTTTCCAGAGGACCCTAAGCAGGGCCTGTGGAGGGAGATCTCCGTCTGCGGGGATGTTTATGCCCTGCGGGAGACACGCTCTGGACCCACCCGGGGAAAACTGGTGAGGCACCCGTTTGGTTATCTTGTCCTCCAGTGTTCATTTTTGTCAGCAATTTCGTTGATTTAGTCCTGTTTAAAAAGTCCTTTTTTTTTGTCAACACCAATCAATTATTTTGTCGGTTTAGTTAACATAAAGTAGGGCATTATTTCACAGTCAAAAGAAAACATAACAATTTTAATATGATTTTAATCAATGATAACTTTTCTTTATTTTTTTAGATTGTAGCCTTTATTGTATTCTCATATCAGAATTTTTTTTTTTTATTCTATAAAAATGTTGTATAAATAAAGTTACGTATTGCATTTTGATATAATCACGATTAAGGTTTCATGACGTGGGGGCTCTCTCATCCTGAAAATAATATTGTTCATAGTTTTCATTACCAGAATGACCACTGTCCTTTTTGCTTTTTGCCATCATTCAGGCTGTGAGGTTACAGCTGTTTGATCCTAAGCATGTGTGTGTCTGTGCAGGCGGAGGGTGAGAGCAGTGCGCTACGTGACGGTTCTCTGGTGGACCTTTGTGGGGCCACCTTGCTGTGGCGTACAGGTGAGGGGCTCATGCGGGCCCCCACCCTCCGTCACCTGGAAGCCCTTCGCCAGGAGCTCAATGCGTCCCGGCCCCAGTGTCCTGTAGGCCTCAGCACACTGGCCTTCCCCAGCCTGCCACGCAGCCACAGGTGGGAGCCAAAGTATGTTAAAATCATCCTCATTATTTTCTATCAGGTTGTTTGTCTTGTTTCATCTTCAGAAGCCTGCCTATAAAAAAGCCTCAATATACGGTAGCAGCGCACAGTTGGTGTTTTTGTAATGCTGACCCGAATGATTGCATCACAATGGGCCTGTCAAAAAGCTAATGGGATTTCTTTATTGGATTGGATTTTTGAATATTGCAGAAAAAAAGGCTCTGTGGCAAACACACATTTTTGACACTTGCATGTCTTGTTTAGCAGCATAATCTCCACATGTTAGGACCACACTACATGATACTCTGCTGCACCTTACCACCGCTAAGCTAAAGTCGGACTTGTTGTGATGATGTCTAGAATGCCATTTTTTCAACCACCATTTTCATAACACATAGAAGCTTTAGAAAATCATGAGACAATTATTTTCTGACGTGTTTTTTAAAATTGAAAAATCTTGTTTGCCTGTGTTAACCACAGATTCCTTTAAAAAACAGTTGACCTCGGAAGTGCTAAAATGCTAACTTATTTCTTTGTTTTAGGATTCATTCCTGCACCAATCTGTAGTGTTATAAGTTTAAATATAAATCACTGGTGTTCACCCAAAGTTTGAAATACTCACACTGTCGATGTTTTGCTTCAGCCTTGAAGAGCGTCAGCCCTGGGTCTACCTCACCTGCGGCCACGTCCACGGACGCCACGACTGGGGCCAGAGACCCGAGGGGGTGGAGATGCCGGGGGAGGGCGAGGTATCCACCACCAGACGGGAGTGTCCCCTGTGCCGGACGGTGGGCCCCTACGTGGCCCTGTGGCTGGGCTGTGAGCCCGCCGTGTACGTGGACGCTGGAGCTCCCACTCACGCTTTTGTGCCGTGCGGCCACGTCTGCTCGGAGAGGACAGCCAGGTACTGGGCCGAGACCCCGCTCCCACACGGGACGCACGCCTTCAGACCCGTCTGCCCCTTCTGCTCCAGCGCACTCAGCACGCCCGGCTGGACGCGGCTCATCTTCCAGGGCCCCATCGATTAGCCGCCACTCTTTGGCAAACCACTAACACAGTAACACAAAGATGCCTGAGCTTCATTCATGTTTCAAACGTGGGTCAGTGTTCAGTGGGGATAGGGAGTGGATCAGGAGGGCTGTTATTTTCAACAGGAGATCTGCTTCTGGGTGGATCACTGACACTGTCCAGCTTTGTTACCGAATGCAGCTCAAAGCTAAATCCCTCCCCTTGTTCATCCTTTAATGCTTCTTGATTGGTGTAAGATCTTGAGAGTAGGTGGTTAAAACATATGATGGAGTGATCGATAGGGTCACATGGACAGTGTTTACTCTTTCAGGGAAGCTGCTTTTCATTCCAACCAAACACTACACTGCTTAGCTAACAGCAACAAGAGATGATTCTCATAACTAAAACTGTAGCTTATACGATGCTGCTCTAACCCATTTTAAATGAATTCAACTCATGATGAAATTACCCACTAATGTTCCACTTTGTCACACGAAACAAACAGATCTCAACCCTTTTATTTGACTGTTTCAGAAGCGATGTATGAAATGACATGTAGCTTTTTGCACAGAAATAGGGAATGGCCTTTTTTACTCAGTTGATCTGCTGTCTTGCACGTCTGCAGCGCCTGTGTGTCCTTAACTCGGTGAAACCCCACCTCTTGCACTTCTTCTCGGCCTGACCTCGGACCACTTTTATCATCCCTAACACAATACTGTAATGCTGCAACTCATAAAACAGTTTTCATCTGTTCTCATTAAAAACTCCTTATTTTATAATATAATATTATATCTGATTCCCCTGTCCCCTGAACATCTTGCTGATTCGTCTGAATCCTGAGCGGGACATATTAACTGCTAATTGTGAATATGGGAGGTGGAATCAGAGTCTTTTAATCAACATTTTACGTTTTTAGTGATTGATACAGGGAATTATTAATCATTGTTAAAGTGAGTGTATGCAGTTTTCCTCTTTTTTCCTCATGCATATTTTTAGTGTGAAATCTATGCAGCAAGATCCCACGAATGAGACCCCGTGTGTAGTACAAGGTTGGAATGAAAGCCTGCAGACTTCTCCGAAGGGAACACTACGCGCCGTATGATCGCACCACTACCAGTTCTCCTCTTAAGGCCAGATCTATTCCGATAATCAAGCAGAGCGAGGATAAGCACCGGGCTCGGATTGAAACCGGGTAAAAAGAAATCCACTCCATAACTCTCTACAGCAATAATAGCACTCCCATAGATAAGCTAGATGTTGTGCTATGTTTAGCCAAGTGTGAGGTCGGTGGTCACTCTTGAACAGGTTAAGGGCTCAACCAGAGGTGTGTTCAATATCACAAATTGTTTTATTTCCAAATGTTGTGTGTGTGTGTGTGTGTGTGTGTGTGTGTGTGTGTGTGTGTGTGTGTGTGTGTGTGTGTGTGTGTGTGTGTGTGTGTGTGTGTGTGTGATGTAACCAAAGCACTAGAATTGAAAGATGAGAAACAGAATCAGTGATTAAACAATTATTTTAATGTTTAAAGTATGTTTTTAGGCTGCAGAAGTCATCAAAGAGCGTCTTTGTGAGGATTTGAACACACTTCTGGTTACTGAATTATGCGTAAACAGGGTCCATGTTAGTACGGTGGAGTGTCAAAAAGTTTGACCTGCATAACCTCAAAAGATAACCTTTTGTTTTGTTTTGAAGAAAAACTATTTTGTTAGGAAATGGGGAGGGATTTATTTGGGGAAGCGGGAGGGAATTCTTTTAGATGTTCAGTGTTAAAAAAAACAACTATTTTTCTAACTGATTATGGGTTTTAGTTAACCGTTGTTACTCAGTGTAAGCAAGTTCTGTATGTTTCTGAAATATTATCGTGTGGTAGTTCTAGGAGAGCTTGTGAGTGAGAAAAACATTGCCAACACTGTGTCCAACAAACACACACTTATATACACACCGCTACCATAAAAAAACATTGCCCAGACAATGAATGTAGCCAAATACTCAGGCTATATTTAGCCTTCCCTGGTGCTCATATTGAATGGTCTATATTGTGATACTATTTTTGTAACTGATTATTATGGTGTAGCTTTGGTGGATTAGCTCAAGAGAGAAAAAAAAAAGATAATTTCAATAATAGCCTCAAGTGTGGAAGACGTATAATTGATAATACACACTCGGAACATTGTGTATAGCTTGCATGTGCTGAACGTACACACACAGTATGAACACTACACGTACACTTTGAAAAACTTTGCACGGTTGATCGCCAACCTGTTCTTCATGCTGAGAGCGTCTGTCGCAGACCAACATGTCTTCCGAGTCCTCGGCTGTTAAAACCTCAGAATTTCAGTTCTTTGTTTTGGAAGACCTCTCTATAAGAAAAGAAGAAAACAAGCCTCATACTTGATAGATGTGTGACGTTTGTGAATGAGACCTAATCCCACTTTGTACTATGCTAATATCTTCCACCAAACAAACTCACTGCGGAAAGAAGTCCGCTCGTTTTAATCTTGTATTCACACCCATCGTGGTATATTCAGAGCTATTCAGAGCCAGATTTGATTTTCAAAATGCCATGTGAAGTCTCAATACAAGATTTAAACTTGCTTTAGTGCAGCGGATAACTTACGTAGTGTTGATAATTACTGTAGCTCAGGATCAGTGATTTCAGATTCACAGCTGGCGAGGCCTGCTAGAAGACACTTTCAGTCTTTCTCATAGGAGAGTAACCATCTAATGTAAAATGCCAAATTGTAGAGGGCGTACTGTGGTGTAGTGCCACAGATCTAGCATCAGTCACATACGGGTCTTTTAAAAAACAAAAGAAAGGAGTGGAGGCTAGGAAAACATCTCCATCAGCTGCCCTTTACTGAGCACGCCAAATCCAGTGAATCCTGCTTTTCGAAGATAATATATACAACGATAAATGTAACACCGTTGGCATGTGGATGGAGAACCGTTGCAGCACCCTCATTGGCTTCTACTTTATAATCTGATATATTTATTTTAGCTAATCTCTTTACCTTTGCTTTGTTTTAGTATTAATTTGAACCCTCTTAGGGTTATAGATGTCCATATGCAATTTCCTCCTAAATAATTCTTAGACTTTTAGTATCGGTGAATTTGTCAGTATTTTAGGTTGTTTGATATCTCAAGTTACGTCATTAGCAGTTTTTTTTAAATTACATTTCAATTGTCCTTCACACCAGATGGCAACACCTCAACATCCTAACTCATCTTGCTATAGTTGAGTTAGTAGCTAACACGCAACACACAGCGTAAAAACCTCACCTCTAACAATGCATTCCTTTTAATACATCCGTGTTATGTACAGCTATTTTGTATTATTTTATATCATATTCTCCTGTAATCGTCCGGTGCACAGACAATCGCTATACACATGTCAATAAACCTGTTAAAAAGTTGAATTTGCTCTGTTTCTTTGCATTTTTGTGTAACTTCTTCAAGGTTTAAAATACTGTAGATCAGCATAATGTTGAGATTGTGTTTATTACATAAAATACAGCTCATTGTGGTTAAATAAAAAGTAATGTGCCAGCAGATGGCGCTCTCTACCTGCTCTGTATGTGATGGCAGGGCACTATGATAAGGTTGCTGTGAGTTTGCATCACCTCTTTAAATGAAGCGTTTGAATGAGCAGTTTTGGCAGTCATGTTCATCACCACGCAAATGTGAGAAGATGCTGTAAATGCCTGCAAAATTACAGAACGCTTCATTTAAAAAAGGACAAAAAAAGCCATTTTAACGATTGAACTTTGTGTCTTTCTTAGGGACTACTGAGTTGTATTATTCAAACGTTTTTTCAGAAATGACTTCACTCCATGGGGAAGAAGCTTTTTTATTTCTTTCAGAGATTGTGAATTTTCTTTCATGCAAATCTTAGTGCCACATTTCATTATTTCCCAAGCATGGGGGAGAAAACCAAAAGCTGAAACTATGGAAAAAAACAGTATGAACGATCTACATGCTGATACAACTTCCAAAATACTGTATTTTTTATATGACAAGTTATAAAAAGTGATACTTGTGATGTGCTCTCAAAAATAATTAGAAGCTTTTTCCAATTTTAAAGGAATCAAATAGAATGACTTTGCTCTAGAAGGATGAAGCTTAAACAATGTATGTCATATTGTATTCAGGAATAATGATTCAGTTTTGGGAGCCAAACCTAATTGAGTAACTGTTGGAAAGATGATTCGCAGCCTGTCCTGAATACTTGAAATGAGGACAACGTCCTTGTTTCTTCCTGAAGTTTTAATAAAGAGATTTAAATAACAAAAGCAACTCTATTTATGTTTTCACTGATAAAATACCCCAATTATATCATTTGGACTGATCTGTACTAAGAACTGGGTGACGATAGAGTCAAAAATAGAGGAGCTGGAGGAATGCAGAATTTGTCGGTTTTGGGATAAGATTTTGGCTTCTGGATTATTCTGGTTTCATGGTTGACCAATCACTTGTGATCGGTCTTTGGTTGCATGCTGGTAAACAGTTTGGGTAAAATGCTATTAAACAAGGAGACGGAACCTTTATAAATGCATGTCTATGGGAAGAAAGCTCTGCACAAAATGCAATCTAGTAACCCATAATCTTCGGAAACCCTAAAATATTGGCCGCTGCCCACGGAGGCTACATTCTAATCAGATTGATAGCTGCGGCGGGGTTCTGTTGAGTCCCTGTTTTGAAGTGGACCCTAGTGTCAAGAAGCTGAAATAGATTCTTAATTTTAAATTGTAATGTTTTTAAATGCAACATTTTCCTAAATTCCTTTGTTTTAATTAGATTATCCGAGACATGAAATTTCCCATCATTGAAAATACTGTACAGTGAAGAAAGCGGTGGGGGTGATGGGGACCTAGCTGTGTGTGAGAGACAAAGAGAGAGAGAGAGAGAGAGAGAGAGAGAGTGTCATGGGACCTAGCATAGATGATGGAGGCAGGGTTTAGTAATACAGTTCAATTCTCAGTGGAGGGATTTGTAGGTTTTGATCCCAGCTAATTAATGTGAAACCCTCAATGGGGAGCCATGGGTATCTGTATAGCTGGGAAGTTTGAAGGGGACAGTGTGTGTGTGTTTACATGCATACATCTGTGTGTGTGCATGCCCACAAATGCAGTGTATAAGCATGCACAAGTTAGGACCATGTGAAGGCATCTGAGTTGTGTGTGTGTGTGTGTGTGTGTGTGAGAAAGTGTTAATCAAAGGCTCCGATATCTTCCTCTCTGTGGACTCACTCTGGAGGTAGCAGGGGGCGTTCATACCATTGTTCCATCAATCCACCCATTAACTACAAACACTGGGAAACTTTAATTAAGCTGGGGCCACAGACGATTAATTAACTTTAAGACTTGCATTCCTTTTTTCTTCCCTGCTACACATTTCACTAAGTCATCGAGCCATAGAAAGTGTTAATTTAGCCACATAATTTACAAATCCAATTATAGCCAATATTAAGGTATCACAAGCTGCTGCCCTGTGTTCTCCAGTCTTATAAGACTATACTCTTTTGTGGCTTGAATAAGAGAGGATGCCAGCACACGTAAGCTGAGCCAAATGTATTAAACAGGGGTTAAGAGTTGTAATAAGTTTGATTATTTTATGGAGTTTATTATGCTGTGTTATCCTGTTAGGGAGGTGATGTTGTGGCAGTGGGATGGTAATCCGGACTGTCTCACAAAGTGGTCTCCCAGTCTGCTGCCATGGAGAATGTCATCACGTCACTGTTTGGGAAGGAAAAGCTCAATGAGAACACGTCAGAGGAGGGAATATGTTTTATATAACGTATATAGTTGTATAGGCTATAAAGCTTACTTACGCCTTCAGTCATACTTCTTCATTGCTGATGATGCTTCAACTTCACCCTCCACTTGGGACATGCCATCTACAGAAAGTAATACACTGACTATGGAGAATTACCTCACTCCACTTCAAACAATCCTTCCTATCCCTTTGATATGGCCAAAAAATGTACATTAAATGTACATAAATGCATTTTTAATATTCACCATCTTTGTCCTTACTTCACTCTTATCTAACTCCACCATCTGAGCTGCTGTTGTTATCAGAGGACAAACAAAGTATGTATGAGCTTCTGTCTGTCAAATAATTAATTTCAAAATACTGCTGCTGGTCTAGCTATAAATCTGCCTTGCCTTATGTCCTGAAAGATTCCTCAAATAATCTATCAATAGAACACAGATAGTAATATTATGGTACCTATACCTATAAACTGCTAATCTTTGAATATATCATATCACTTATTCAGTTATTTTCAGATAAACGTAAGTATCATAATATTACAGAAAAAGCAATAGAGACATAAAGATCTAACATATTCTGAACTAAAATGATCTGTCAGAGAATAATATCGCTAATCTGAAAGCCTTCACTTACATTACATTACATTGCATTTAGCTGACGCTTTTATCCAAAGCGACTTACAATAAGTGCGTTCGACCAACAAAATACAAACTTGAGGAAAACAGAATCATATAAGTAGGCTACATCAGGCCTCATAGAGCAAAAACATTTCAAGTGCTACTCAACTGGCTTTAGATAAGCCAGTCCTTTATTAGTATATAAGTGCTTTGTTAATAGTTCTATCGCTCGAAGTGGAGTCGAAAGAGATGAGTTTTCAGTCTGCGCCGGAAGGTGTGTAAGCTATCTGCTGTCCTGATGTCAATGGGGAGCTCATTCCACCATTTTGGAGCCAGGATAGCAAACCCACATGTTTTTGCTGATGGGAATTTGGGTCCCCTTCGCAGCGAGGGTTATTCATTCTTACATTAATTCATCGTTAACTAGGGTTTGTAAGACAAACGAAAAGCATTCTTCCAGCTCACATATAAGTCTGTAATAAGGATGCAATGCTCATGAAACACATACAAAATTGGAAGGATGGATGAATGGAGGAAATACAGTGCTATTCTTGGGACCACAAGGCAGAAAAACAAAGACAACGATTGGCCTGAGGGTGGCGCCAGAGGAATACATTGGTACATGACATGACTTTTAACATAATTGTCTTCACCAGTGTAGTCCAATTTAAATTTGACAACGTTTTACATATACATAACCCTACATTAAAACAGAGTCAAACACTTGTGAGCAAACATATTCCTGCCTTCAGCATGCGTTGAGTGTTTTTAAAGACATCCAGCAGTGTTAAACTGACAAAAAACAACGATTAAATAAAAGAAACGGGCAGTAAGGCTGTGTACCATGCTGCACACACACTTTTCCGTTCCAATAACCCCTGAAGCCAACTATTACTTCTCTAAAACACCACGATGTTATCACTAAAGTTATTTTTCAATCCATGATGCTGGCTTGTTCTTGGTTTCTTCCAAGATCTCGCGATATTGCGTAGTTAAAGGACGCAGTGGATAGCCCGCCCCCTCACTGCGCCAATTGTTTAGACTTGTAGGAAATGCGGTAAATTTCTCCTTATTAGGTATTCAACCACTATTTTCACGTTTTTACAGACAACATTGTACTGGCTCGTGTTGTTTTTCTTAACAAACTTGACCTAGTTTTGCTTCTAAAACTATTGTGCATTCTTAGAAGCTAATGTGACCAAGTTAATGTCTAGCTAAATGTTATTTAACTAGCTAGCTAGCTAATGTCAGTGGTGGAAAGTAATACATTTACTCAACTACTGTACTTAAAGGGATAGTGGAAATCCGCGAATTTTGGGTTTAACTTATGTATTTTTATTAAAAATAAGCATAATAAACAATTTTTTTTAATTTCATGCGCCTAGTTTCATTTTATTTTCAATTTTACTGCGCCCTCTCAATGAAACGAAATACTTCGGGAATCGTCGGGAATCTTCGGGTGATGACGAGAGCATAGGAAGACGGGCACAAACAATGGCGGACTTTCAATAGCATTTGCATGTGAATAGCCGACCTTTATTATGGTGAATAGATGTGTTTTGTATGGCTGTAGTGCGACAGCAAATGCAGAGAATGGCGTATCGACGCATGCGTTTCCAATAAACCCAGCCATTCGTCGTCAGTGGGTGACATTTGTTTTTATTCCGTTGAACACAACTTTTGATCACAAATCAAAAAAGGTAAGACGTAATTATTGTAATATTTTTGGAACCGGATGTTGTTTACTTTCTCTTTTCTGGCTGATAGCTCCAGGAATTCGAGGTCTTACAGTGATGACATTACATGTGTGGAATCTGTGGAGTCTCAGCTTTAAATCGTATATCTTGTTTGTGCAGTTAAGATAGTAATAAGGGCATTTCTACCGTGTGTTGTGTGTAAAAAAGCGTTAGCATTAGTTAGCATTGTTTCGCTCAATGCTAATTCAAAGGCTTGGTATTACTCTTGTGTTTTTTCTAGCTAACAATTGTTCTTATTGTCAGTTAGCGGAGTTTCTTACCTTTAAAAGGGTATGAAACATTAATAGTTTCATAAATGTTAAGAAGCCCTGAGACATGTGAGAGAAAAAAAACTGGGAGGGGTCCACTGGGGGGACCTTCGGGCTTAACTGGTTAACAATGATTAATATTTGTAAAGGCTACAGGTGATCTTAAGATGCGTGAGCTATGCTTAGGGACCTACCAGTTAAGATTATTTGTGCGTAGGGGTGCATCATCTGGCGCCTGGTCCTGGTCATCCTCGCCATTGCCCATGCCGTGAACCATCACCTCGGGCTCGGGCTCGAACAAATAAGGACGTAATGGTCCATCGTCTGGCTCAATATTGTCACCATCGTCGCTTACTGAACCGGATTCAGATTCAGTTCCTAAAACGACATTTTCGTAGGAAAGCCGAGAGGATGTTTCTGACTCGCTATCATCACTGGATACCTCGTACAATCCTTCTTCTTTGTCTGGTATATTTGCCCTTCCACGTTCATTCTGCATAGACGCCATGGTTTGTTATCGTATCGTCTTCCTAAGTATTCGTCACTTCCGGTTTGGCTGAGTCGAACATTTCGTTTCTAAAAAACTTCGGGGAAGCTGGAATAAAGTGCTTCTAACATGCGTAAGGCTATTATTATATTTTTTTAATCAGGTGTGATTGTTTTGGTACGTAATTATGCTTGTATATAAGTTAAAACGAAACTATTTGAGGTTCCATTTCCACTATCCCTTTAAGTAAATAATGTAGGTACTTGTACTTTGCTTAAGTATGTTCACATTATACTACTTTATACTTTTACTACACTACAATTTGTTAGCAAATGTTGAACTTTTTACTCCATTTATTGTAGGCCTATTTGTTAGTTTAGTTACTAGTTAGTTCACATAATTAGGTTTATACAAAATATAAATCAACTAATATATTATTATAGATTAAGCTACCCAGGAGTATATAGAGTAATACAAATAAACCCGACCTTTACCAAGTGCAACATTAAAGTGATGAACACGATAATGCATCAATCATTTTAATGCAATCATTTACAGTAGAAGGTGTTTAAATGTGCCATTCTGCATAATGGATACTTTACATTTTGGTACCTAAAGTATATTTGGTTAATACTTTTGTCCTTTTACTTAAGTAAAATGTTGAGTTTTGCTTGTAAAAGAGATTTTTTATACTCTGCTTTTACTAAATCTTAATACTTCTTCCACCTCTGGCTAATTTAGTGGGAATGTTGATACAGCATTCCAACTATCTGTTATGCTACGCACAAAATTATTTATTATTCTGCCGGGTTATTTTGCATCTCTTCTTCTCCCACATTCTACATCGCAGAAACTCCGTTCAAACATCAAAACATTCAGCTCGGTCGGGAATCGATGGCTATTACTTTTCTTATTCATAACTTTCATAATTCCAGAGATACATCCCATAATTCATCAAATTTTTAACATGGAAGTCAATGGAGAAACTCTTCAGACTTGAACAATCTTCATGCAACTTCAACTGCTCCTTCATACTTTCACTCAGAAACCTCATTCCAACTTTAAAATGTTACACATCTTTCTGACATTATTCGTGTAACACAACTTTTAAATCTGATTCGTAGTTTTAGAGATATTAAACATTGTTCAGACCTTGGTAAAGAGGCCTTCTTCAGATTTGAGAGTGCGTGATGTCACAGCTACGCAGCCTCCACACGGCGGCGTGCGTTGAAGCTTGCCGGTGAGCTTTCTGAAACTCGACCAACAACCAATCTCATGAATCTCCCGCCCCGGACACACAAGCACGCGGTTTGATTGGCTAGAGCTTGTACTGGCATATGATTTGATTGGCTGACGCTTCCGCCGAAGCTTCAAAAGTTGAACATTGCTCAACTTTTGAAGCGAGCAACGTGAGCAAAGCGAAGCAACACTCCCACAATGCAGTTCGGCAAAGCGTGACGTCACCCCATTCAAAGTGAATGGGCAGAAGCGTTGAAGCTTGCCGGCGGGGGGGGGCTGAAACTCGACCAACAACCAATCACATGAATCTCCCGCCCCGGACACACAAGCACACGTTTTGATTGGCTAGAGCTTGTACTGGCATATGATTCGATTGGCTGACGCTTCCGCCGAAGCTTCAAAAGTTGAAAATTGCTCAACTTTTGCAGCGAGCAACGCTTGTGAAGCTATACTTCGCTCCCACAATGCAGTTCCGCGAAACGTGACGTCACCCCATTCAAAGTGATTGGGCAGAAGCGTTGAAGCAACGCACGCCGCTGTGTGGACGGGCCGTTAGAGTGGAGGACAGATTTAATTTTGCCTTCATATTTTCTTTTAAACCTGCCATAATTCCCAAACCCTACATTCCTGAGACGAAATGTTTCCTGAGAAACGTAGGAAAACATCTTGTAGCTTGACAAATTAAAAAAAATCAAGCTAAATAATTAAACAAAATGCCTTTTGAGGGCATGAAGTGACAAAAACTTTCAGCATGTCTCCATTAAACCCCATTGTAAGTTCAGCCTCATCTTTCCCCACCACAGCAGCCGCACACCTTTAGTTCATCTGCCAAAAAGGCCACATTATTAACCCGACAGTACACAAAAAGTACACTTCAGATGCTCAAGTTCCTTGACATGCTTCACGCTTTGAAATTTCACCGATATCTGTTACGGTTCTTCAACAAAACATTCATATGTAAGAGGTTTATCTCTCATTCAGAACAATGAAAATGCTCTCCTCTCACTGATTACTGCACCATCACCATGGAAACCTGT